AGAGGCCTCTACGAAATTATCCTGGAGACACAGGCGCTGGGTGGGCTACGGGAGCCTGGGCTCAATGAACAGTTACTGAGCGCCTGCTGTATGCCACCGCAATAAACAGGCCACCGCCGACTGCGACCTGCCCCTGGGGTGAAAACCTCACAGCTGCATGTGAGTAGGGAGAGAAGAGGGTGGGGAAAGATCCAAACTTCCTAGTGGCCGGCCAGCCAGCCAGGGAAGTTGGAGGCTAAGCCCCAACCGGGTGTGTCACCTGGACTCTCTGAGCCAACTCTCAGAGGGAGGGGGTCAATGATTCCACCTCTAAGAGGAGAAAACTGAGGTCAGAGCCGTTAAGCAAACCAATCTGGAATCACACAGGTGGCCAGCAGTGGGGCTGAGACTTGAACCCAGATTTGTGGGACAGAGGGGAGGACAAGGAGGGAGCTGAAGAGGGGGGGAAGCTGCAGAGACCACAAGTCAGCCACCGAGGAGATGCACTGCCTCCCAGGGCAGCCTGTGATCAATGACAGTGACCAGGTCCTGTTCCAGCCTGGCCAAGGGCTTAGAGAGTCTGCCAGGACCATGCGAACCTCTCTGATGAGAGAGGAAGGGCGCTGACCCCTGCACCCAGAAGATGAAGGTCCCCACACTGAACAGGGGGACGCCAAAGTCTGGACCTCCACTGGAGCTCTGCACATGCTCCTGAGAGCATTCCTGCGGCTGGAAGAGGGGGAGGGAGGACCCAGGAGTTCTGTGCTGCATGCCAGGCTCTAAAAGCCCATGTGGTTGGAAAAACTTCCCCTGGGTTGGGGGTCAGGGGTGGGGGGGGGATTAATAAGTTCAGCCACCAGAGCAGCTCCCTTCAAAGCCAGGTGGGCAGGCCTGCCTCAAGTGAGCTCTACAAGGAAAAGTTGGCAAGGGATTGGAGGGGTGCCAGCCCCCTGGCTAACTGGGCTCAGCTCAGGCACCTCTGAGGACCTGGCCAGAGTTTCCAGTGCTCCAGGGACAGGCCCCACCTTCTCTCCGTGAGCCTGCCCTGGACCAGGAGCAGCCAGCCATTGTTGCTTTAACGGGCATTCACAGCCTGAAACCTCAGGGGACTGACCCCCCCCCCCCC